GTATGTTTTAATTGGATATTTTCTCAAGCCACAATTGGCTTTGTAAGATCTATTCATTATAATAAATTAAATTAATAGGCCGGGCCAGGAAGGATCTGAAAGATCAAGACACTTCGAGTGAACCCTTACATGACAGCCTTTACTCATGCACGTTTTGGGGCTTTCTATATGTAACACAGGCCAATTTAACACATGGTTTTCCGGCTTAGCTTACATTTGGTCTGCCTGTTTTCCTTGGCTAACTTGATCCCGCATCTGTTTCCTCAATTGTTATGAACCAGTCCTTTCTCTTCTGATGAGGTGAGCGCTGCAGACGTGGTGAACTGTTTATCCGCACCAGACTTGGCTGCGCTTTTCCGAGCTTACGGTGAAGACCGTTGGGCGGGTAGGATCGCTCGAGCAATCGTAGCCCATAGAGCTACTATCGGCCCAATACATACGGCGCACCAGCTTGCCGAATTGGCTCACTCAGTCACTGTCACTAAGACGTCCTGTAGCCCGCTTAGTCGACCTAAGCATTTTGTAAGTTGATTTTCCCCAATATCCACTTTACATGCCCATTTCTAGTATTAGGGTCGATATTTTTATCATATCTTTACACGGTAGAACTTATTTACATTTATAAAATTTGCATTTCATGTGAGCTCGAGGACACTAAGCACTTCCGTATTATGTTGATTCTTGAAAACTTAGAGGTTTGTGGGTGACAATCTTCAAACATTTATCCTCTACAAGAGTTTAATTTAAGACCAAACTAGTGCTTTATCTTAGCTATTGCTGAATTTTATTTTTTAAAAGCACAAATAACTTCTCTGATCTTCTTATTTAAGAATGAAGAAAAATACGAGGAAGTGGTGGAAGGTGAAACAAATCGCCGACAAAAGCGCCCACTAGCTGGTCTTCATCAGGCCTCAGTACGTGTGCTACAAGCTCTGCGCATATTTGTTAACGATGAATTGAACGAGTTGGCTTTTGGACTGGAGATGGCACATCAAATTTTACGCCCTGGTGGTCGGCTCGTGGTCATCTCATTCCATTCTCTAGAGGACCGACTGGTTAAACTTGCCCTAGCTTGTTCCACGCGGCAGGCAATTTGCACAGACAACCTCATTTTCAAGGAGCACTTCCATTCGCGCCATCACCGCCACCAGAAAGAAACTAGCAAGGTCCTGAAACCTGGTCTGGCAACTTATCTGGAGGCCGCCGTGGCCCCTAGAGATTCTGAGGGTTCTTTATTGCTACCAGCCAAGGGGTTGGCACCCTACTCAAATAGCATAAGTGAGCAAGGTTTCCAACGGTATCGCAATCTGTTGCGCGCCTGTATGAGCGAACCAATTATTGAGTACGAGGCTAATCAGGGCGAGATTCCTACTGAGTTGGAGTGCAGTGCCCGATTTTGGTGCCAAGTAAGCAGACGGGGATTTCATATGGGGTCTGTAGTGAATAAAAAATTTACAGATAAATCTGTTTTAGAATTGTAAATTAAGTTTAACAGTAGTGGACA